ATAACAGATGCAAGTGTACTTGTTTTAATCTTCAACGCAGCATTACACTGTCCAAGTATGCATGCTCTATTTACAGAGCATGCTTCTAAACACTATCACTATTTGCGCGACACTATGCCGCATCTAGTTCCGCGATTACGACCAGCACTTACTAGTTCAGGAATCAAAATGGAAGATATGGATAATGAAGAGAACAGGGATAAACGTGGTCGAGAGTTCTTGGAGAAGATGGGAATTGGAATCGAGAATGCTAGACCAGGGGGAAGAGTTCATACGCAGCTTTTAGAAACTGCAGCTATTGATCTTGATCGTATGGCAGAAATGGATCATCACATGGAAGGTGCAGCACGTTTTACCGCCTTGTATATTCGATGCCTGCTGCTATTGAAGTCTGTCCTCAAAGAATGTTCTGTGTCTTCGACAACATCTATTTCGGCGAATCCAGTGCCGAACACTAACAACAATATTTTCGTTCTTCTTCAGCATACACAAAAGTATGTACCTTTAATGTGTATTAAAAAAATCGTGTTTTGAGATATAATACAATTTTGATTATAATAAAATAAATGAAATAAGAAGGAAGAATTATATAAGAAAAATAAATAAAATTATACTTATCATTTTTTAGATTACAACGTTTATTTAGTGGATTAGACGAAAATGATATTATATTGGCTAACGATATGTGGTTGAAAGCACTGGCTATAGAATTAGTTAGGGTAACCAAAAGTGCTACCGGCAGCGCATTACCACTGGCTCGTTATTTTCTATCTGAAGCAGATGCTTTACCTCAAGATACATCAAGGCTACCACCGTTCTCCAGGGCTCTAGTTCTACAAATACCCACTTTGGCGGACGTGAAACCGGGTTCCTTAACGCGGCTTTTGTTGCCATTGCTTTTAACGCCTGTAATACAGGGAGAAGAACGATTACCGAGACCGTCAGCGACGACGCGCTTCTGTCGAGCACACATCGAGGAACCGAGAGGCGATGCCGATGCTGCACTAAAATTCACGGGTGGTCTTTTGCTGGGAATTCCCTTAAACGCCAAGATATTGAATCTACGCGATCCTTCTACTCTGCGAATAAAGCTGAGACACCCGGATCAACAAGTGCAATTACTGTTACCGCGACAATCAGATCTGCGTATGCAACAGTCCAATCAGAAAGATTACAGATTGAGGACGACAGTTTTACTATCGCATCAAGTATGGATGGAGCCTTGTAATGTAGAAATCTCTCTAGCATTGCTGTTACCCTCATCCTCTATTTGCACACATCCACCTTTAGATGATCCATGCGTGATTGATTTGTGTAAACCTATCAAAGTATCAATTGCACCGAAAGCCATCAAAAGGGGCATATGATTACATTTTATTGTGTAATAATCATTTAATTTATATGTAACTTTATATAATAGATCAAGATTTAATACTTAATGCAGAGAATTAATTTGTTAATAAAATATGTAATTTAAACAAATTTGTGCCGATTTATATATCGAAAAATCATTGTGATATTACGAGATCATTGTGATAACGAGAGATCAAGATGTTTGTTGCAAAATAGATAAGATTTTAATCACCTAAATGTCACTAAATACTGAACAACAGAGAATAGGATTTGAAATAACTTGGTTCTAAATAACTTGAAACAGTGGTCAAATGAAAAATTTAATTTTGTTTTTCAGTCTTGTTATATGATGCGCATAAACTAAAAGAATAAAAAATATGATAAAATTATACAAATAATGTAATAGAGATGGATATTCACTAAAGAAATCGTAACTTTCATTTAGCATTCATTCGTGTTTAACATGAGAGCTGATGCGCTGCATTATGATTTTCACTCAAATTCAATTTATAATATCGATCAGTTAATTTCTTGATTTAATTAAAAATACTTTATTGTAAAACCTAGATCCGCTCTCATTTATTACAAGGTATAAGACATGATAGAATGATTTTTTTTTTTTTCATAAAAAGTATATCTTTCTGAATGTAAAACTATATACACGATTGTAATTTGATAATTCTTCATTCAATAGAAATTTTCTATTCTGCTATGACAGTTTGGAAAGTAATCTGCCGCAACACCATATTTTATTCATCTCCAACTGGAGAACGAACTGCCGCTAAAATAAAATAATTATTTATTATTTGCAAAATTATCTCTGTATCTTTTTATTATTTTGATTTGATCAATTGAAAATTTATTGGTGCAAAAGTTACTACATACGCAGTGAATGCTGGTTTCTCTGAGTCTGGATTCTTCTGAGCTAAGCTACCGAAACTGAGACCACCTGATTGATTGGCTAAAGATTCGAAGGTACTGCTGCCTGTTACTTCTCCAAATACTTTTGGCATATTTTCCATTGTAGAGCCAGCTTGCATAGCAGATGGACTTCCAAATCCTATTTATAATATTTCTTTCTTATTATAAACAATAGCACTTCTATTACCTATTATACTTATGTTTGTATAATCAATAGATACAGGATAATGTAATTATGCATTTGAGCTGAAGTTGAAAGAGCTATAAAATACATAGAAAAGATCTTTCATATTTTGTTCTTCAAAAGTAAGTACATAAACTATATATATTCGCATTTTGAGAATGTTATAATAATATCATTATTTATTTACCTATGCTAGGAGATTCAAACGTAGGGGGTGAGCCAAAACCGCTACCTCCAAAAACGGGTTTCGATCCACCAAAGATGGGTGATGATCCGAACACTGGCTTGGCGCCAAAAGCAGGAGCTTGACCAAAAGCGGGTTGGCTGCTGAGTATAGGTTGCTGTATTGGAGACGTATTAGGCACAGTAGACCTGAAGACATTTGTGCTTGCAGGAGAACCACTAACTGCCGCCGGCGATGTGTTACTCGTCACACCACCGAATGGAGAAGCAGGTGGATTTGTCGCTCCACCAAATATAATACCGGATTTCGAGGCACTGGTGTCAAATATAGATCCTGGTGAGGTTGTACCGAATCCTGTTGTGTTACCTCCAAAGATATTTCCACTTGGGGAAGTCGTCCCGAAGATAGAATTCATGCTATTACCTCCAAATATAGAGGTGTTCGAGGAGGTAGCTGGCGTATTGGAGAATACAGAGCTCGAGGTATTGCCAAACGGCGTTGATGCAGGACTGATTATCGGATTTCCAAAGATATTCGCTGTCGACGCGGGCGTCTGTACACCTGGGAACTGCGCGTTCGATACCGGAGACACTATCGGGTTCTTACCGAACGCTGGCGTGATCGAAGTTGCTGTTGTTGTCACAGGCATACCGAAAGAGATTGTGCCTGCGGAAGTGGCATTGGTTGAGCTGATCCCAAAACTTGCGGCTGGCATACTAGTGGTGGTGGTCTCACCAAACGTTGGTTTACTGAGGGAAGTCTGGAAAGGAGACACGGTGCTACTCGCAGGCATCGCTGAAGAGCTGGTAGTAATACCCGTTGATGTGTTTGCGAATCCGCTAAATACCGACGTGGTAGTCGGCGCCAAGGTTGATGTCCCGAAAGTAGATGTAATCGATGGGAAAGAAACTGCGCCGAAAGTAGTCGTAGCGGGCAGTGTGATCGTCTCTGATACTGTCGCTGTATTTTTTATGATGGTCTGGCCGCTAAACATTGGTGCTGCGGCTAAAGAAATTGGAACCTGGGCAGCTACAGTACCAAAAGTGGGTGTTTTCACTTCAGGCGTAGTGACTTTCTCGATGACGACCGAACTGGTGGATGGCATCTCCGTCAACGTTCTACGAACGGCGTTCGCGTCTACGACGCTAATGGTAACTCCGCCAAGAGTCATAACGGATGTAACAATGGCAGTCGTCGCGGAAGTCTGTGCTGTAATAACAGGTGCAGCTGCAGCGAAACTATTGGAAGTCGTAATCACATTTACCTTCCCGTCCGCGCTGTTGCTTGAGTGATCAACCTGATGAAGAGTCGACGTGCTAGGTGATCCCAAGGATAAAGCCGACAGTTCTATCGGTGTTTGCATTGGTATTGTTTGAACTGGTATCGTGGGTTCTATAGTAGGAGTGTGGGATATGGATTTTGAATAAGCGAAGGACATCATGTCGAGCGCAGTACTAGAGGACGAACTTTTTGCAACAGGCGGAGCCATGTTAGGTGTAGCGAAACTGAACGTGACAGCAGCGTCTGTTTTTACAGCTGGCACCGCAGAGAGCGATGAAAGATTACGTGGGATTCCCATACGAGTGGTTTCCGTTAATGGATATTCTGTTGATAACACGTCTTTTAACAATCCGGTCGAGAATAAAGCAGATTCCGGAGCTTTAGGGATGCTTTCACTACTCGCCAATTCCTTATTGTTCCTGGCAGTTGCATCTATGAGAGATTTTGAAAAGAAACTATCTTGAGATTTCGGCGCCGACGTTCCAAACGTGATAGATGTTGGAAAGTTAACATTCAGATCCTGTTTTGGTTTAGATTGGGACACTGCGAGAGCTGCTGGCATGGCGGGCTTTTTGTCCACTTGCTTGGTAGAAATAACCGCACCGGAAAAAGAAACGGTCGTTGGAAGTAGCTTCTGTTGTAACTTGTTTTGCGCAAGGACGCCATTCGTGTCGGATGAACCGATTCTCGCAACAATACTGTTCAACGAAGCGAGGGGACTTTGCAATTTCGACTGCTTCTCGATCGGCTGTTTGACAGTGATATTCTGTTTAACAATCGGTGGCTCGGGTTTGGTCTTAATCTCATTGATCACAGGACTGAGAGACGCCAGGGAAGACAACGTAGCCTTCAAACGATCCTGAATTGGTGATGGATTGACTGGCTTAATAATTCTTGGAGATGATTCATTGAGTAGTGCCCTTAACTTGAGTTGCTTTTCATGTGTAAAACTCAGAGTTTTCGAAGCAATGGTTTTGCAACGGACGTCTATAACATCGGTCTTTCCTCGAATAATCGAAGCTGGCGATTTTGGCGAACTCACATGCAGACTCGCCATTGAGCGATTAAGATTGGACACACCACTAGCTGCCAATGAGCGATTGAGAGACTTCCATCGCCGCGAAATTTGCTCAATCTTCTCTTTTTCTTTTGCGATAATCTTATTGTGCATTAGAAGATTCTGATACACGTATTCCAAGTTGGGAATGTTCATTTTCGACTTTACATGTGCCTTGTGGTCCGACCATTCTAGATCTAAGATTTTACTAACTTGATTCAGTTGCGTTTGCGTGTAATAGTACCATCGTTGCAGATCTGCTATTTTGCTGTTTTCGCTGCAATTTCTAGTGGTGATATCAACACTGGCTGCGTTCTTCGATTTAGTTTCTTCAACCCATGCAAATGACTGAAGCAACAAAGCCTTTAAATACGCTATATCGCTGGACAAACTGTTTGTCGTGTCTTTTAAATCTCTCAAAAACTGTTCTATGACGACGGACATCTCTCCAAGCTGTTTCTTTTCTAAGTCTGTACCACATTCCCACACTTGTGGTTCCAGCCTATTTCGCAGTTCTTTCTCAAATAATGCCTGCTCCTGCATATAAGCTTGCATTCGTATGTTATCGTCTATACAAGCTTTCTGTTCCGCTATTTGTGGCGAGGTTGCTTCTTTATCTACAACCGACTTGGTTTCTGTCTTTATAAGTTCCGACACTGGTTGTTCCTTAGGCATAATTGATTTTATAATCATTTGTGGCACAGCTTTTTCTTCTTGCGGTTTCGGCTGTTCCGTTGGTTGCTCCACAGGTGGTTGAAAGAATCCCGCCGCCTTCAGAGAGTCGCCAAATATATTTGTTATTGGAGCAGGCTTTGAGCGTTCCGGCGCAATCTCCGGTTTCGAACGAGGCGTGCTGGTAATCGCAGTATTCATAGCAAATGATATTTCTATAGATGAAGTATTAGATTGTAACGGTGCTGGAGGCGCGATAATTTCCATAGGAGGGACATTAATGGTAGGGCAATTGGATGCCAGATTAACCATGTGGAAGCTGCATAATTTCCCGGACGTTCCAAGAATATGTAAAACGGGAACTGGATATGGCAATGTCGAATCCGTGCCCCATGATAACTTGGTAGTTGGAGACTTGTCCACGGCCAAACCCAAGGGATAAATTTCCGTAGTTCTCATCAACGGCAATTGAGCTCTACCACTATCGACTAATTGCCATTGATTCCAATTCGCGCCACCATCTGTAGTGCCTAGTACAGCTATTTCACTGCTGGTGCTACTACCAGCTATGATAAGTCCCCATTCTGGTACATGTTCAAAATAATAGCGTGGAACGCTGTTCTCTCCTTCAGCTTCGGGAAAACCGTATGTAATATCTTCATAACATGTAAAAATAGCATTTGTTTCTCCTTTCGGTGCGTCAACAATGAGAACATTTATATGCCGCTCATTGTTCAGATATGCGGCACAAAATTGATAATTGCTGAGCCATAGGATGTTAATCACTTCTCCCATGGATGGTGAAGGACCTGTGATAGTTCTAGCAACCTTCAAAGTATCTGGCTTCAGTTGTACAATGTCTCCATTCTTGCAGCCCACTGCTATTTGTTTGCCTTTCGGACTCCATGCTGCGCATAAAGCCTGTGGCTCATTCGACATTTTAGAAAGTACAGATATTTTTGGTACGCGATTTTCTTCTTCTATCTTCAGTTGGAAGCTACCAATAGTACAGTCACTAGTAACACTGCAAAACATCGCAGGTACGGTAGGATTCCATCGTATGTCTGTTATGTAGCTATCTAACTTGTTCGATGGTGTTATTTCAAGCAGCAGGTTGAGACTCTAAAAATTAATACATTAATTAATAATAAATATATAACTTCTGGTTTTCTATAGTATTGGTTAAAACTTCGAGATGTGTTTTTAAGACTTCTGCAAAAATATGCTACGTGCATACATTTCTAGCTAATGAATGGGCATCATATATCAATACTGTAGACTTCAATGCTATGCCTATAGCAATATAATTATAATCACAATTAATTGCAATCTTTGATATAACGCCTGGTAATTGAAGTTCTATCTTCCATTCTGCACTGTTCTCCTCCGCTGGCTTTAAGACAGTAACTTTATCATCATGTCCTATGTAAAGAAGTCCTCGTTTCTTGTCAGCCACAAGAAGATTGCAAGCAGCAGGAGTATATGCAGGAGTCTTCAAGTCAAATACTTGAAACGTATTTGACTGTTTAAATAAAAATTCCTGAAAGTAGGAGCAATAATAAATATCAAATCAAATGTCAGGAAATATGATTTAATTCTTTTATATCAGAAGAAATAATGCTTTTTCTTTGGCAAAATTGTATCTGATCAGTAGTTTTTAAACAAGAATAATTTAAAGTCAATAAATAAATGTTCAAAATTATACATAAATTAAGAATAGCTAGTATAAATGTACTGAATATTTATACTATTTTACTACTTCTTCCAAAGATTTTATAATATGCAAATTAAATATTTTTTAAATATATGTTAAATACAATTTATTTGATATGATAAAGTTAAAAAAACTATTGTTTAAATACAATTTGGCAACACGATTTCATATATAAATATAAATTAGAAAATTTAAAGAATACAGTTCTTGTGTTGAGAACAAATGTTGCACAATAAAAGTTACTCAATTATTTGTTCCATATTTAAGAGCTACTTTATGCAAAAACAAAAATATTATAGAATTTAACGCAAAAAATTGTTCAGTTTGTTTTATGCTTAAAAACTTCTTTTAGATATAAAAGAAAGATGTCAAACAAATTGATGTACAAATATATATATATATAATTTAATTGATCTACAGTATCAAATACTTAAAGGTCAACGTTACATGCAAGACCATATCTATCGAATCTTCATAGAATTATCGAGACGAGTGGTGTTCCGTGAGCAATCGAGTAAGAAGACTTAAAATAAATTTTTTAAGTGATTGTGCAGCTTCCAAAGACGATTTTTAATACAACTTGTTCGCCGGTTGTACCGACGATCTATTTAAATCACGCATGTACTTCTTACTACTACAAAACAACCAGGCTATACCTGCACGTATATCGGATCCAGCGATGCCTTCATTCTTACGGTATTTTGCAATTATTTTTCATAAACAGTTTACAATGATTATTGAGAAAGATCACGTTTCACCTCGTCAATTGCTCGTCGATCGTATCTGAACGCACCTTAACCGAATTTCAACAGACGTATTAAAATCAGCACTGACACCATCGACTTACAACTTGTATGACGTTCATTCGAATGTAGAGTCCGAGTCTTGGACAGTGTTGCCAACTCTGAATTCTAAAACTCCGTTAAGCTGGATATCAATCATGAAACTTCATTCCTAGGAAGAAAAGTGAAAAGTTAAAATTTTAACCATTCAAGTTAATGGAAAAATTGTTCACCTTTCACTTTTTATCCTAGGAAAAAAGTTTCATGATTGATACTCTGGTTCTACATTAGTCGCATCGCAGTATCGCAAGTGTTGCGGTCCAATAAACATCAAGCTTAGTTCGACTCTGATTGGACCGCAACGCTTGCGACCGCTTGTGACGCTGCGATACGATTAAAGCCGGTTCTACATTAGTTGCAAGCTAATTGCAAGTTTGTTGCGACAGCCGATATGAAGCGTTGATTTCAAAATGTAAGCTTCATAGTGGCTATCGCAACAAACTTGCGATCAGCTTACAATAATGTGGAATCCGCCTTTATTTGTCTTGATTGCATTATTATAATCTGATTTCACGATTTATCTACGATTCTGGCCGGAATTGCCGTCATTTTTGCAGCGAGTGCCATTAATTTTGAAGAGAGAGAGAGAGAGAGAGAGAGAGAGAGAGAGAGAGAGAGCTATTCCTCTGAAGAATGGAATGATTGAAATTAACCAATTTTATAACATCGATGTTGCAATTTCAGTGTAAAACGTGCTGTGTAAACGTAATAAATGATGTATCATGCGCATCATGCGTGAAATACAATAGAACGCATCTTTAATTAAATGTGATTGGTTGGTTCTATAAGTAACAACCAATGATATTCATTTGCTTGATTAAATAAACTAGCCGCTTTGTCTACTTGAACGTGCCCATTATGACAAATATCTTAACCTCTCTCAAACTTTAATCTTTAACAAGTAATAACTTGTTTCGCGAGGCATGTCGTTGCATTTTTTTGCAGAATCTTTCGTTTTGAGTGAAAACGCATCGAATGAGAACATTTTTATTAAGATTGGAAGAGTATTGAGAAAAGTATTTTTAATAATTACCAAAGTAGAAAGATAAGAAGGGATAATAAGCCATTATTTCGATACAAGAAACTACATTACATGACACTACACTATGTCGGATAAAAAAACTGTATTTGTTACAGTTGGCACAACAAAATTTGATGATTTGATAACTACAGTATTGAGTCGTGCAGTTCTGGAGGTAGTGTAGATAGTATTTACACTAGGTCTGTTCGCATTGCTTGCACTTTGTGCATTCAGAATCTTTGCTTTCTGTCTCTTGAACGTCCGAATACATATTTATCTCGTTTTAAATGCAAAATTTTTTGAGAATTTTAAGCGCGAATAAACCTATTTTATCATTATTTACATTAATCTTTTTTGTATACTGTAGCATTTGTTCTTTAATTGCATTTGTATGTATATTTATAAAAAAAAAGAGAGAGCTTACAATTAATATTGCTATTCTAGGCCCTATCAGCACGTAATTACAGGCATCTAATCTTACAAATTGGCAATAGCAAGTTAGAACCGGATTGTACTGCACGTTATGGCTTCCATAAAATAGAAATTTTTAGATTAAGCCCATCCATTGGAGAATATCTGCAACTGGCAGACCTTGTGATAAGCCATGCAGGTGCAGGAAGTGTGCTGGAAGCTTTAGAAAGATACAAACACTTAATTGTGGTGACCAATGATCTCCTCATGGACAATCATCAGATTGAACTGGCTGAACAGCTGTATAAAGATGAACATTTATATTATTGTACTTGTAAAAATTTATTGCACGTCATACAAACAATGGACTTTGCAAAGTTAAAGCCGTTCACCAATGACAATAATGCAGATATTGCTAATTTTATTGATAAAGTAATGGGATTTAGATGAGTGTTGAGGCTGTTTTGCCTTTCACTGAATATAGGAAGAGACTGCTTTATGTTAAAAAAAAAAAAGAGTCAAATAGCTGTGGGAACAAGCAGCAATATTTATATATATATATTTGAATTCTTAACATGTTTTACAATAAGGATACATATTTCATAAAGTTTAAATTCATTACTGTAATATATTATATGCTTGATTTAATTTACAATAATAATACATTATACATCCATTCCTCAGAACTATGTTTACATATTATAGAAAAAATAATTCTGCAATTAGTTAAATTGCGACAGATCATTGGCAGTTTTAACGTTCCCTTAGATAATTTATAAATTATTATTGGACAATTTTGTTTACTGTTAACATAACAATTAATTCTGTAAAAATATCATAAAAGTTGTTCATTGTTAAAATAAGTCCAGTTCTTTAAAAAATATCATTATTTTTAATGTAATCTTCAGCATTGATCAATGTTCTATTCATTGAGAATAATTGATGCAATATTAGCAAGTGAAATAATTTTTATACTCTAATACACTACTATGTTCTGTGAGTTATTGCTGTATGGCATACTTTCAATTTATTTTTCACGAAGATATTTTATACGGATATGAAGAAAACTACACAGAATTATAGTAGTGTGTGATTTAATTAATTAAGCCAAGCCGTGTCATTTCCTTTAAAAGTTCGTTACCCATTTGTGCAGGACTTCTTGTTACTATTACACCAGCCTGATAATAGAACCCATGTATATATTACTTAATTCCAAAAATTATTTAAAGTATATTATTAACGATATATGAACATAAATGGTATATGAATAGAAATTTTGACTCACTTTTTCGAGTGCATCAATTTTATCTTGTGCGCCACCCTTTCCTCCTGAGATTATAGCACCAGCGTGTCCCATTCTTCGTCCAGGTGGTGCTGTAAGACCAGCGATAAACGATACCACTGGCTTAGCTTTTCCACCCTACAATATAATTTAGTGAATAAAATACGACATATTAATCCTATGATAAGATTTCTAGGACAAAGGTAAGATAGGATTAGATTAGGTTGGATTGTATATGGGATACCAATAATTTTGAATAGGGACCAACAGTATTGTTTGCGATGAGATACTCTGCTGCAAATTCTTCTGCACTACCACCGATCTCTCCTATCATTATAATACCATCGCAATCTGGGTCGGTAAGAAATACATCCAAACAATCGATGAAATCAGTACCATTGAACGGATCACCACCAATACCAACACATAATGTTTGCCCAAGTCCCGCCTTCAAAGAAAATATTAACATATTTGACATTTTATAAACATATAATCTTTTAAGTTACAATTTTTTAAATGTGCTTACAAGTGTAGTTTGATTCACAGCCTCGTAAGTTAGGGTTCCAGATCTCGAAACAATACCAATTTTTCCTTTTTGATGTATATGACCAGGCATAATACCAATTTTACACTACAACATTACATAAGAAAGAAAAAAAGAATTATATTTCATTATCAATAAATTTGTAATTATTAATTTGTCTAAAATTATTTCTATACTTGTTCAGGTGCTATTATTCCAGGACAATTTGGGCCAATTAAACGTGACTTATTTTGTTCAAGTAATCGTCTTTTTACTTTGACCATATCATGTTGAGGAATACCTTCCGTAATACAAACAATTAATGGCATTTCTGCATCAATTGCTTCGATAATGGCTGACGCTGCAGCAGGAGGAGGAACATAAATAGCTGTTGCAATAGCCCCAGTTGCTTCTTTTGCCTATAAAGTATCACAGATAATTTAAATATCATGCAAATAAATAAAAAATGTTGTAAAAGAGTAATATTACCTCCTTAACAGATTTAAATACTGGTTTACCAAGATGTTCTATTCCAGCCTTCTTAGGATTAACTCCACCTACTATCTTTGTACCATAATCAAGTGCTTGTTGACAATGGAAAGTCCCTTGCTTTCCAGTAAAACCTTGACATATCACTTTGGTATTTGCATCAATTTTTAAATTCTTCCTAGTTTCTGTATAATTAAACCTCACCTGAGAACGTAATAAACTTCCACAGTTCTTGACTGAAACATTATAAGAACATTATAATAAATATATATTGATAAATCCAATATAATAAAATGAAAATACGTGAAAGGAAAGGATAACTTTATTAGGATATATTTATTAACTAAAAGTGTCATAAGTATAGCATCATATAGACTTTAATATTAATATACAATTTTAAAGTAAAAAAATCATGTACAAAAATATATATTTAACAATAAATAAAATAAAATTTAACTATAAATTAAAAATAAAAAGATATGTTGTCTTTTAGCATCTTGGCAGTAAAAATTTCTAGTCAAAGTTCACTTGCTCATAGATTATCAATAAATGTAATTAGACATTTATATTGACATAAAATAACAAACAGAAGATACCTATGTAATATATGCAATTTTCTATGAGAAAAATAAAGAAAGGATTAAAGCATATGAAAGAAAAGGATTGCTAACTCGTAACTATGTATGAGTTATCATCACAGAGGAAGGATCACGAGAGCATTACTGTGAGAACAAATCATCCAATTGCTTTGCATATGAGCTCATAGGTCATTCTTAATTAATAAAACACGCATTTCCCGATAAGGCGCGATTCAGCCGTAATTATGTCTTCCCTTATATAATAAAATGTTATCATAAATGCGAGCTGTCAGAATTATTTTTAGTTCATAGGCTGCGTATGGCGTAACCAGCGGGAGAAAAAATCTCGAGAGTATTGCCGTTAAAATGTGCAAAAGTCAAAGAGAACATCGAAAACGATGTAACGCGAAGATATTACGGAACGTACGAGGATACATTGCGAAGACCCACCAGCGAATTTTGAAAATGACCTGGCAGCCACAGCCATCTCTTAATTTGTCCTTTTCGCTGAGGAGGCAATGCTCAAAATTGAATTAACACCGAAGCACCATTGAAAGAGTACTAGACACTACAATCTCACAAGAAGGTCAAGTCCAGGAAGACACAGACAGGAGATACCGCACGAAGTTTGCCCGGTTGCGCCACGAACTTGCGAGAACATTGAATCGAAAATCGTACCTCTTCGCTACGTTTTATTGGTTATAAACATGTTGCACTTGTTCTACTGACAAATTTTATATTTGTCCATTAATTGTCCATTACTCGAATATATAATATGGATATATAATGAATATATAACATATATATGTAAAATTAAACATTTCATTAATTTTTATATTATAATATTTTTAAAATAAATGTTTAAACACGATATGGGAACGACTAAAGGTGTCTACCAAGGGTTCCACACCAACTGCAATTGGTGGAACGCTTGTGATTGGTTCCGCTCTCGTTCCGCGTTACGGCTTCAGCATATCAGCGCGATATTCGTCGCATGCGACATGCGATATCCAATGACAGTATACTTTTAAAATGAGAACATCGATAAAGCTATACACTCATTGGATATCGCGCGCAACGAACATCTGAAGCATTTAAAATACAAGCTTCAGATTGACTGTCACAATAAACTTGCAATCAACTTGCGTCTGAAGGCCATTCTATATTAGTCGTATTAAAGACATCATAAGTCACAAGCTCGTTACTTCAGCCAATCCAATGCTTCAATTTTAAAGTCGCATGACGCTTCCAACGCTATGACTAATATAGAATGGCTTTAAAGTTGGTTCTACATTAGTGGCATCGCAGCGTTGCAAGCGTTTCGATCCAATCAGAGTTGAACTAGCTCGACGTTGATTGGACCGCAACGTTTACGACGCTGCGATGCGATTAATGTAGAACCAGCTTTACGTAGATCGGAACATGATATAAAAAGACAAGGCATTCCCGAGGATATGTAGTAGAAGAGTGAATTTGAGACCAAAATTTGATTGGCAATGCCAATATGCCAGCGCTATTATACACAGGAAAGTGCATATAGACCAAAATTTGATTGGTTGTTTCCAGTATTGCTATCGTGCAATTTATTAGGTGCAATGGTGGTATATCTTAGGTCTGTTTTCTGTGGCTAAACTAGTGTACACTTTTGATGTAAGATAGATATATGTTTTGTAGCGGGTTGCTACATATAATAAACGTAGGTAATGGAGGAAACTCAGATTCACAAATAACAAAACATTGGTTTATTATCATATACAATATCTTATCGCGACAATGTAACTCCTGTGTCTCGTGTATCTGCACAGTTAAAGAACGAACAAAGAGAACGTATCTAGATGGGAAATTCAGATCGTGTTCGTGAGAGCGCGCCATCTGGTCGCGGAGTGATGAGTTTAAACGAGTATAAGGCATGGTTGAAGTATAACTGAAGGAATGTGAGAATGCATATGTGTGTGTATATGGAAATGTGAATGTGTCTCCACAGTTTGATGTTTGTTGAAAGCGAGAAAGAGAGTAGCTAGTGCAGTCTAGTGCAGGAACAAAAAACAGACCACTTGTATTCTTACATCATGGATCGGGATTTATAAAGATGCCGGAAAGGTAGCGTGCTGTACGATCAGCAGGACTTCTGGAATGTTCTGATGAAAGCAAGCGTAGTTGACAAGAGGCACAATTGATGGTACCGCCGTTGCTAGATGTACATCGCTTAAAAGACTGTGTGCGCCAGTCTATATAAATTCTTTTCGATCTCATTATCATTATTACTGACATAAGAATTTAATTATATCCACGTTTTTACATGGATCGCAATTCAATCAAATTCGCAGTGCCCCGGTCACGAAGGTAATATCGGCGCGTATACAAAGCATGATACAGGCGACGGCGATATCACGAAAATTAAATCTGATAAAAATGACGTGGTGAGAAGATACGCTTATCACTTGACGGGAGCGTCGAAGGAATTACAAGGTAAATGCACTTTTAGCGCACTCCGAATTATTCCATTGCGCTATCGATCCGAGATTTTATCGCGTGAATGTACAGCAAGATCCCGGAAGTAGACCGATAATTTTCCTCGTTCCCAACCGTACCCGAGCCAGGCTTTTCTTGCCTGTAATTCGATACGGTTCCCGGAAAAATCGTGCGTAACGTACACACATTGTCGAAGAACGGAAAAAACAACGTCGGGATTGCGCTTCAACGTGGATTCTCATTGTTCTAGATTCGCACATATCCGAAAAAAAATTTTTTTTATTATCTTTAATTTTGCGTATACTATCCTATCTTGGTGCAGAGCCGATTATTTCGATTCCGCGAATATTCCGGTTTTAATGTTATGCAACTAAATGTACTCGGGTCTGGCTAATCTTGCGCATAATGCGTTGTATTGTTGTGGTTGTGGCATAAAATAGAAGTAGGATGGAGGAGAGCACAAGCTCGGAAAATGTCTGGCACAAGGGCAAACCTGAAGAGCAAAGCGAGCTGTTTCAAGGAGAGTCCACAGCCACATCTGTAGAAGCTAACTCTACATCGTTGGCTGATATATTTGATACGGCATTCACATCGACAGTTGATCCCTCTCCACAACCTCGGTTTCCTTCAGGTATACAGAAGAAACTTGACAGTTTCTTCATCAATCTGTACATACATTATTTTTCATGTATAGATTTTGTATTAAGACATAATACAATATGAATGGAACATATCTCACTTACAGGTAATGAAATGGAGTATGAGCATTTATTTGCAGAAAGCGATATTGAAGAGTCAGACGTAACAGCTATAGGTCCTTATACAAATTCAACTCATCCTACTGCTTCCGAAAATAATTTTGTTTATGGAAATTATTTACCACAACAAGATGCAACTGGTGATTCGCAGGAATATTGGCAATCTGATCTCTTGAATTGCAACATGTGCCAAAATAGACAAGAAAGAAATTCTAAAAAAGATCCTCCGACTCGACAATTGAATAATTCATGTGAGGAGAGAGTGTGTGATAATTATAGAAGAAAAAGAATTTTGCACGATCGTGATTTGACAGTTAAGCATAAAACTAAAAAGAGCGATGAGCAAAAATTATTGAGTGGTCAACAGCCAGATAGTTTGAGTATAGCAGGACCATCTAGATTGTCGGATCATACTATTTCAAACAAGTATTTATTTATCTTTATTAATATTTATATACCTGTTGTTTATTAAGTAATATATTGTAAATAAATTATTACTTTGCAGTATAACGAGATCAACAGAAAATGCAGATGTTTTACAAAATTTAGGAAGTAATAATGCCAATGAGTCTAATAGTTTGTATGATTCAGTTATATCAAATGTGATAACTCCAGAAGAAATACGTTTATCTCGTACGTTTTTTATAGCATTTATAATCTATTAAGTATATATTTACAGTATATTTTATACATATATATATATACACATAAATCAAATGATTATTAATTTGTCAATCTTGTAACTAATAGAAAGTGATGATGCACCATCGGCACCAGATTTGCAGTTAGATTGGTCCTCCAGTAGTGATAGTGATGATGAGGATGGCTCAGTTGAAGTACTTGGAACTGTCAACCATAATACCAAGGTATATGAATATTTTTAAATATAAAAATAATACATTAAGAATATTAATGTACTAGTAATATATATGAGATTAGTTAGATAGACTATACTTAATCTTTTTGGTATGAAAAATGATCATAGGGAAAGAGAGACTTTTGTATGTTTGTAAAAAAATCTATAGATATAGCTTTTATTTATAAAGATTACTTTAGTCAAAACAGAATATTACTGCTATGGTCTCTATCAATTATATATAATAATATATCAAAGATACTGACTGCTATTAAAAAAATTTTGTATTATAATTTTCTATATTGAAAAAATTAATAGTACATAAACAATATTGAAATAGGATCACAACAACGAAATATATAAAAGTGAGAAAAAATAAAATATTGCTGGAAAATTGTTAATGTAGATATTATGAAACCTTTATTTAAAAGAATATATTTTCTATAATATAGAACTCATTAGAAAATACAAGTGAAGATAATCGTACAGTCACCGTAGTTGACTTAACTGTAGAATCTGATGAAGAACATACATCATCGACACCAACAAATCCTGTAGTTAATCCATGGTCAACCGATTTTAGTCATAGGTAAGCACTACACATTCTTTAATACAATTGTCTTTATCACAATTATTTTTTCATTTTTATGACATTATTACATTGTATTGTAAAATTTTGTTTAGAAATAGTACCCACTGTATGCATGGATCACCAGATTATTGGAATCATCTGCATAACATAGGCACGTATCACAATCACAGATTGCCTGTTCATACAAGTTATTCGTCTATGGGAGGTATGTCTTTCTATATTTAGAAATTTATTTATCAATTAAAAAATGGCATAATTAGAATATAAAGTTATTATAATATATTATAAAATTATAGGGAAATAGAAATATATAAACTTTATTATTATTATTATTATTACTATTATAAACAGATGCAGCTACAGAAGTAGTACAAGTAAGACCACGAATGCATCCTATGCAACAAAGATTATGGATGAATCAACAACGTATGCAAGAAGTACATAGACGAAGACTTTACCACAGATCTTCGTCACATCATACGTTAGTATATTAATATATTTACATGATATTTTATTATAAACAAAAATGCACTTTAATTTACTAAATTGAACTTTATTATTACATAGTGCGGGACCATGTAACGCTCATGTGCATTCATCAACTCAACATACTTGTGGAGAGGGAGGAAATAATAGTCCCCCGAATACTCGGTGCAGTAATGGGACGGATAACGCAACGTACACAGAAAATTATCTCTCACCTCCTATTTTACCGCCACCGCAGCAACCGACTGTTTACAGTCATCCTGAAGCTCGAGGGCCATCTAGTTTCTATAGGGGACCATGTCCTGTGCTGCCTATAATCGTAATCTAACAATTCATGCAATATATATCAATATAATATTTTATATTATTTTCTTATTACATTATTATATAATTTTCTTATTATTGTATGTATCCACAGGTAAATCCATTGAATAATCAACCAGTTGACTCAATGTCTTCGCTAATGTTA